GGGGAGCTTTTGCTCTCACAAGGTGCCCCCCCCACCCAACCCAACACAGCATGTTTCCCAGTCTTTGGCTAAGAACCAGTCCAAAAGCCAAAACCAGAATGTACACTAGAGCAATTCTAAATGGACTAGTTCATACTTAGAGCAGGAACATTGGGAACAGTTTCAGAAGTAAGATTATATCTGTCAAGGAAGTCAGAAGTAATAGTTTTCTGTCTTCCAGTTGCATGAGTGACTTTCTCATTGTACTCTGTCTTGTTGTGGAGTGTACGGTTCTCATCTGCTCAGATTAATGATACTCTGTTTCTAAACCAGGATGCTATTTATGTTCTTTGCTTGCCCTGAACATTGCTGCCTTCAGTGTTTATGCCTACTGTTTTCTGATCTGTGCTAAATAAAGAAGCACCTTATAAATCTCACCTTAACTGAATCTCCAGAATGCCTGAAACAAAGTCACATTCCATTTATCTCCAGGCCTTTAAAATCGTGCCATACAGCATAGAAGCACTGGACAAACTGTTGACTGAGTCACTCAAGAAGAACATTCCAGCCAGTGGCTTACACCTGTTTGGAATCAACCAGCTGGAAGAAGAAGATATGACAACAAGTAAATGGAAAGATTTTTGTTTTCTTTTTAAACTTCTATATCAATTGTTTTGCCTTGGAGCACCTTAACACTCCAGTGTGTGGTACTTGCACAGGCTGTCTCAAAAATCTCAGATCTCAGCCAGGAAGCTAGATTTCTGATGACGCTTATAGAAGGGGGATTGCCATTTGGGTTGGGTGACCCTTTTTTTATTACATGCATCAATCTCACTTCCTTGCACTGTGACAGATGCAGCTGTGTAGACAGCTTTAAACATAACCAAAGTGCAAGGATGATGCTCCCCAAAATGTCTCCTATATTTTCTCCCTTATTCTTCTCCCAGTTCCATGTGACATTTCTCCCCAGCCCAGTCCTTTTCACTCCCAAACTTGTGACTCTGCTCTGAGGTACACAGTGGGCACTCAGCAGTTGGACTGGTGTGGCCCTGTGACATGGTTGCCTTACAGCAGCTGTATCCTACTGGAATGATGATCTAAGAGGTCCTTGCAAACCTGTGGTCCTACATACATGAAGCTGTTACAGTGCCAGATTCCCCACTAAAGGTCACAGGGCTTAAGCCCGCAGATGCGCTAGATACATCAGGTAATTTGTGCAGCTAGCTCCATTTTGAATCTGTATATATACTTTTCAGTGCTTTCACACCTGCTTTGGTCTATGTGTTTGCTAGGAATTTTGTTTCTTACCTACTGGCTCTGTTGTTGCTAGCGAGAAAATTAGATTCTAACAGGCTCCTGTTCTCACAGACCAGAGGGATGAAGAGTTGCCAACACTGCTTCACTTCTCTGCAAGATACGGGCTGAAGAACCTCACTGCCTTGCTACTTACATGCCCTGGAGCACTGCAGGCCTACAGTGTAGCCAACAAAAACGGTCACTATCCAAACACCATAGCAGAAAAGCATGGCTTTAAGGACCTCCGCCAATTTATTGATGAATATGTGGTAAGAGGAAGCAGCAGTCCTTCTGCTTTGTCCCACAGCAGGTGTTGGCAGTGGCACCAAGCTTGGCACTTAGTGTTGTGTGAGCCAGAGTGGTGGGGTAATAAAGGGTGCAGCATTATATGATAGTGTGTAGAAGACAGATATCCAGCCACACTGAAAGCTTCCAGGCTGGAGGGCTGGGTGCATCTCTGGAGCTGGGGAAGTTCTTGGGGCTTTTGCCGGAGAGAGCAAATAAGATGGAAGCAGAGACTTTCATGCTGGATTTCCTTATCGTCTATCCATCTAATGTAGTTTCTGCAGGGATGTAGTTGGTGCCTGGTGTACTCTTCTAACATCTCATCTTGGAAAACTACAGCCCCTTCATCCCACTTACTTTAGGGAGTAATATGGTAACAGAATATGTTTGGGAAGGTACAATCTAAGGTGCTCTCTGATTAGTCATAGTACAGTCTGGATTGCTTATTAGCTCATTCACAGATGATCTCTGTAGTCTGCCTGCTCCACTTGAAATCCATTTCTTCCTGTGTTAGGATAGCTGTCCGTTCTCTACTCATTCTCTCTGGGAGCCCAATTCACAATTCAGTTCCTTTGAGCTAACCCCATCCCCAGAAAACAGCACTCTGACTTTTCCAGATTGTGACATGGACGTGACTCCAGCTGCACCAGGCAGTTGTTTCTGTGGTGTCCTTTGGAGTGTGTGGGGTTTGTCCTTTCTTTTCCATGAGTTGTTTCCAGTCTGTATACTTCAAAATAACGAGCAGTGCCTTGAGTCAGATCACATGAATTATTGAGCAGATTTTCTTTGCCTTTGCTTTCAGTTGAAAAGCTGTGCATAATTGTCCCTAACAGTTGTCTGAATGGCAGGTGGTAGGTCTGCCAGCCTTAGTGTGGTTCTGCCAGCCAATTACAGTAGTGTTTAATGCCTATTTAGGAGGCATGGGTGGTTCTTAGACTTGGGGTGTGCTTCTTGACATAAGCATGAATTTAGAGTTGTACATTAGAGCTAAATAAAGGTCATTCCTTGTTCTGAGATGAGGAGGGCTGCAGAAACTGTGAAGTGCATGATAAAAATCTTTGCACTGTGGTAAGTGGGAGATGGTTAGGAAGTTCTTTCAACCTCTTATCGCAGTACTGTATTCCTCCCATGTCCTCCTCTCCACTAGCACAGTGACACAGCTGTGTTAAGAGTAGGTCCTACTTACTGACCATCAAGCTATCTGTGCAGCTTTGTACCAGAGCACACAAATGATCTGCACCAGTGTGTCCACTGCAAGGTAGTGACTAGAAGCACTACTATGGATCTCTGAAAATCCCAGTAAGCCACTCTACTGACCTAATTCTCTTTCTAGCAAAAGTTTCTCTGCATCTCCATAAAGCATTGCATGAGCTACCTGCCTGACGCATTTTGACTGTGAAGGGAATCATGTGAAGACGGTTTTGACACACATGCCCTGTGGATTGAAGGCTTGTGAGATGGCAGTTGTGGATGGAAGAATGTCTTGTAGTACTGCAACTGGTTAAGATAGCTGTGCTTGTGACATGGTTGGAACTTGGGGAGGAGGCTGGGGTGAATCTTTGTATTTCGCTCCCCTGCATGTTTTGGTGAAGATCTGCACTGCCTTACCCATCCCCACCCCGTGTTGCAAATATGTGAGAAAGGGTTCTGCTGACCTCTGAAATGAAAGTTGCCCGTATTACCCAAACAGCTGCCTGAAGTGAGGTTTCCTGTTAATCTCACAGCTAAGGGTCTGTGTACTCCCACTTTGGGTGTTACGTGCTGCTGCTAATGTGAAGAAACTGAAACTGAGTCTACACCAAAGCTAAAACTTTGCTTTCTCGTAAGTGCTCCACATGTGGCAAGCTTATGGTCAGCTATGCTTGCCCCAAAATAGACTTAGACAAGCACTTGTATTTTTACAATGAACTTTGCTTATGTTCTAGGAGCTTGCAGGCTCCTAGACACTCTTGCAGGTAGGACGTGAAATTGAGGGGGTGAGTGGCTATAAATAGCTATTCAGAATGTGTCAGCACCAACTTGTTTCACCTTCATTGCCTATTTTTTCAACATAGATCTTGAAGGCTGGGCCCAGACAGCTGTAGTGGGAGTTTAGTTCCTTTGAGAAGCCGTAGTCTTTGGGAATGGGCTGCTTTTAGAAGGTTTTTTCAATCAGTGATGGGAGAGTGAGATATCTTGCTTGCTTTGGTTCTCCAGATTCTTTATTTAAATGAGACTTGAACATTTTTTTTTTCCTTGCCTTCCTTCCTCTCCAGGAAACTGCAGATATGCTGAAGAGTCACATTAAGGAAGAGCTGATGCAAGGCGAGGAGGATGAGTCTGTTTATGAGTCCATGGCTCATCTGTCCACTGATCTGTTAATGAAATGTTCCTTGAATCCTGGCTCCGATGAAGAGCTTTATGAATCTATGGCTGGATTTGTCCCCGGTGCCCCGGAAGATCTTTGTATGTATATTCACAGAATCATAGGATGGTTTGGGCTGGAAGGGACCTCTAAAGGCCATCTAGTCCAACTCCCCCTGCAATGAGCAGAAACATTTTAAACTAGAACATGTTGCTCAGAGGCCCTGTCCAAGAGGCCTAAGCTGATCTGTCTCTCTTGCAGACAGTAACACCTCAGTTGAGTTTCAGAGTAAGGGCTGATTATAGCTTTTCACCACAAGGAAACCATGCTCCAGTTCTGATGTTGACTGGCTGATAAAATTGCTCTAAACATTTCATTGATTGGCAGTATACCAGAAGAGAACAGTTTTTCTACTGTGTCCTGCTTCTCCCTCCTGAGATCCAGGGAGGTAGGGACACTCTGATTTACAGACACTGGTAGAAAAGAACACTATGTAAGATACGATTTTACTGACAGCTGGGAAACTGAAAAACAAGAGCTGAGCTTCTACTTCAACAGCTTGAGAACCAAAGAAAGCAAACATCCAGAAATATATGTCTCAAAGATTATAATGGAAAAACAATTATTCTAATCCACTTAGTTTATTGCTAAAAATACAGAGATAACTCTGATAAATATGCAGATGTTTAACTTTTTCACCAGGCCATTAATATTCAATGAGGCTCGTTACAAATATTAAGTACCAATGTTAAACAATTGTAAATTTGCTATTCTTACTTATATGCCTATTTGGTCTGTCTTCATCCCACTGATACATTTTATTATTCCTATGATGAGCAGAGAATCTATCTTATTATAATTTAAGTACCTGCATAAGGACTTCCCGTGTTTCTGCAGTTTTAAGTGTTCTGCCTCAGAGGAAAACCTTTCTTAATGAAACAGTTTTGCTTATATACTATGTCTGTCCTGGGCTCGTTTTCTGCTCTTTTAGATTAAACGATGTTATAAAACACATTTTCGTTGATTATGAGTCCAGAAGACTTTGTCAGTTCTCTGCCTGAAATCATGAAGTCTTCTCTGCGAAGTTTTGTTTGGCTGCTGCAGGGATAGTTTTGCTACCAAAAGCAGGATTATTCTGCCTTTAGATGGAGATAAGCAGTAAGGCCGGTTGGACTCCTAAGGAACAAAGCTGCTGTTGTTCATAATAATGAAGGTGAGAGTTTCTAGATATTTGGAAGCTTTGCCTGCATTCAGTCCACCTCTGAATGGGGTTGATTGACTGAGTCTGTGGAAGAAGAAAAAGCATGCTTAAAATAACTAAGCCCAACTTGTCTTCTTCCACCCCTGAAATGTTCAAATCTCCTAGAAACTATGCAGGAGTTATTACTTTCTTTTGTGGATGCAAATCAAGCTCCCTGTAGTTTGCCACTTTTGAACTTAATTTTGAAAAGCCTCTCCAAAAATATTCTTATATTGGTTCAGATTTAGATCAGAATTGCTTCCTGTCAAGAAAACCATTTGCCAGCCCTGCAGACTGTTGGTGGAAGAACTAATTGTTCCAAGGTGCTTGTTTCTTCTTCCCTGCTGAAGATCCAAGCCACATTAAGTTAAACAGTTCAAGGTTTTCCTGCCCTCGCTTACTCTGATTGACAGATCTCAGGAGGGAGTTTGGCTAGTGTTTTGGATGAATACATGAAACAAAGCCTAGTTGGCTGATAGGCACGGAGGGGGAGAGCTAGGAAACGTTTCCATGGGATGGGAAAGGTTGTGCATTTGAAGCCGAAGTCAGGCTGCTTTTCTTAAGCCTCCTCAGTAGCAAAGGCCCAGTAGGAGTATGTCCTTTAGGGGAAGCTTCTGCAAGCACAGCCACATCAGCAGGGTGACAGAGCTCTCTGGGATCAGCACCAGAAAGTTCTCCTGGTGTTCAAATATGCTGCAGGCTCTGCAGGGCCAGTAGGAATAAAAAGGTAAAAACCTAAGCTGTCCCAAAATAGGTACTTATGATTCTTTTCTGAAAAACAGAGGTGAATGAGTCTGCGTTTTGAGATGTTTTCCTCATTGGTGAGACGTTGTATATGGCTTATCTGTAATACCTCAGCAAGGAATGTGAGTGTGTTTCCCACTTCTGGAGTTCTCCTAGTGTATTGCTCCTGCACACAAATCTGTTTCCCTCCACTCTGGAGTCTTTTACTGAAAATCTGTTTTTCTTATGTAGTCTGTTAGTATTTGCCTGAAGAATATTTACAGCTTCTCTGAACAGTGCTTAAAATCTACGTGTATTTTAACAGGCAAGGTTAAATTGGCAGAATGCTTGACACTTAGATTGGTTCAAAGTGAAGATGTTTCAATATTATTTAGAATGCCAGCACACAGGCAAACCCATACTGAAATTAGTGGGAGTACTGGCTGGTTTAGAACTGCCATCACAAATAAAGGCTTCAAGCTTTTGTACTGACTTAAAGGTTTGTGAGGATGAAAAACTCCCTAGGAAATAATAACCATCTTCTGCTGAGGTACTTTCTCCAGGACAGAGTGGCCCTTATGTGAGTAGTCACGGCTGTGCTCTAGAGGACAATACCTGGGCTATTTTAAGTGTAGCCCTACTGTTGCACAATGCCCATTTATTGTGATCAAGATGTGCTTCCACCACAGTTTTTCAGAGACTGATCAAAGGGAGGTTAGATACCACAGGGTCAATTTGTCTGGCAGGAACTGGTTTGAGAATATGGTAACACAGGATTGGAGCCATTGTAATGAGTTAAAAGTAGTAGCAAATACTTGAATACTGGAGTGTTCTGTTAGCTCTTATATTCTTCATCCCATTTCTGATTTTTCAGTGTGTTTTTATGTGTTGGTTTTTTTTCTGTCTGCATTTGATCCTGCAGAAACATTTACAGAGAAAGTGCAGAAGCTGTGCAAAGGCCCAATTTTGCTTAAACTGGTGCTGCATGAGAGTCGCACACACCTGTATTGAGTTGCTAGTTGTCCCTTTAAGTTTTGAGGTAAATGATGGAATTAAAAAAAATGGAAAAGGTTTTGTTAATCTACAGAACACTGCCTCCCCTTCTGCTGGAGGGGAGCATTCTCCCCCAGGTAGGTCTTAATGCCCTGAGCAGTGTAGATCATGAAGTATTCCTAACCAAATCAGTGGGAACTTACTAGCTCCTGCTGTTACCTTGTTTGCTGCTCTTTAAGAGATTGAATTGCCTTATTTAATTTCTCATCGTTAATCTAATTGTTCCCACTTCAGAAGAGCACTTCCCTCATGACACTTTTCAAATACCTGTAAAGTCAAACATAATTTTCCAGAATATGCTCCAGGTTGGTGCAGGTTGCAGATAAATGTCATTTATTTAAGTCACTTGCACACTGTAACAAACAGCAGCTGAATAGCAAAAAGGGAGAGTTATCTCCATCATATCAGTCTAGTAGTATGAACTACAGCATCAGCTGAAGTGCTTTGCTTTTTCTGCCTTGCTTTCACCAGCACCTCCTGCTATCTTTGCAAAACAGAGTATTTTGAGTAGGCTGGAGCTGTGTACAGGAGGGGCTCTGAGGGCAAGGACTCTTGAAAGTGCTGAAAACCTGTTTGATTTGTGTGAAGACTGGACTGCCTTGTTTGTGTTTGTGTGTGTGACTATGCTGTTTTACTTGGGGCAAGAGTTAGACTGTATTTCTTCTGTCCAGGGGCAGATGGTGGCAGTGGCTGGTGGAAACAAGTCCAGATTCTTAGCACTGTTTCCATATCCATGAACTGTGAGGACACCCAGACCCTAGGTAGTGTGAGTTTCATGCAGAGATTAATCCTTTATCCTAGAGAGGTTCAGCTGACTAAAATCTATTGCCCTGCAATTTGCAGACCTCCAACACCTAAAGAGTAGATGTTAGTTCACATATAAGTTGTGATGTCCTTATTCTACTTTCTTGCATATCCTCTCCCTCCTCCACCATTTTTATTCTCCTGACACCAAGCTTTTAACACTGTCCTCACTGATTTTTATTTTTTCCTTAGTTAATGCAAGGAACAGCAGCCTCCTTGTCATCCTTGAGCAAACTGAGAAAATTGTGCACAAAAATGTAACTGCTTATAAAGTTCTGAGTTGCGATTTATGCCAGCTCACTGAAGCCTTTGTCTTGCATAATAAAGGACTGGTCTCTAATGAGGTGGCTTGCATCATGTGCAGAAATACCTGTTCGCAGGTCAGTTGAGCTCCCTCCTGAGGCCTTAAACCCTGTAAAAGGAAACCAAAACTATTTTATTAAATATCGTCTAGCTACTAATTCTGACATCTAGGAACTACTTAACCCTCTTCCTGCTAACCCTTCAGACCAGCTGTCCCCAGTAGCCTCAGGAAAATCTGGGGACCTTTCCTGTGATACACAAAGTTTGTGTGTGCCACCTTTTTGTCACTTTTGTCTCACTAAGCCTGTTTTTGCAGCAAGTGGAACAAAAGGTGTCACCGACAAAGTCAAGAACTTCTTTTCAGTTTTGGTATGTGAGGAGTGAGATGTTAGGCCTCATCTGTATGCAAGACAGGCCCATGTGCAAGAGGGTAGCAAGGTGGCAGTCATGTCTTCTAAGGAGAACTAATTAGTTGATGAATTTAACTACACTAACTATGTGATAGAAAACAAACTCTGCAGTATCCTGTTGCATGGCTGGTTTAGTAATCCTGCAGAGCACAGCCAAATTGGGAAGATACTGTTCACTCTACAGAGAATGAAAGGAACTTTGCACACCTGTCACATTCTGTTCTGCCCCCAAATCCATAAAGTAGTGGCTTTCCTCTGTATTTGCTACAGGTTCATTTCTAAAACCTATGTTAAAAATAATCAAGCTGACTGCAAGGTGGAAAAAATGGAACTACAGAAAAATACAGGTCTGTAGTGCTGATTCTTTAAGATGTTCAAATGTCAAATCAGTGCTTCCATGTAGTGCAGTGATAATTAAGTGAACTTTATATTAGCTTGGTGGTGAGCAGATTAGCTCCAGCAGCATGCATCTTGGCATGGACTGCAGAGCTCTTGAGAAGCTGCTGGTGTGGTTAGTCCACACAGCTTGCAGTCTTGCTGTGGCTGTGCTAGAGGTATTCCTGTGAGGTTAAAGCTACGTTGGGTGCATTCACATGACTGTCAGTGGGACCTTTGACAATTATTATTTTAAAAAACCCCACAACATTCTAAAAAAGCAAAATCTTGCTAGCATATTCTTATCCCTTTCTTATAATCTCCTCAGCTTTGCAGGTAAAATAAAAGGTCAGAAAACATTAAAAAGACACTTACAGAGAAATACTTTGTATTCTTTTATGCAACCCAAATGATCTAGTTTACATAGTAATAGGTATTAACAATATATCTCAACAATTCACTTATATCAATAAGCCTCAACAATTAATTTATATCACTCTTATTTTTAATATAATTAGGAGCATGGTTACCTAACGTTTTATTTTAGTTTTAGAATTATTTTTAAGGTTACAGTGAGGCTGACCCTTTTTTTTAATCACAATTCTTCATATCAAAACACCGATTTAACAAAGTATCTTATTGTTTGCTGTCACTCGTTTCTCAATACTAAATTATTGTCTGATCCTCTAAACACCTTCCAGTCCAACTAATTATCTCAGACAGCTGTTTTGGCTTTTATCCAATAAACAAAACAAATACTGCCTTCTGTGTCATGGGCAGATTTCCCTTAATGTCTTGTTTTGGCAAGTCACTGAGTTTCCACTCAGTTTGGCCTCTCAGCTGCACTGTGCAGAGGCCAAAACCTTCACTCGGTGAACACACTCTCAGTAATGGTTAATCCTCAGTGCCTGCTTGGAGCCTTGTCAGAAGTTCTCAATAAGCATCTACTTACCCTCAAGTGTAAGCATCAGGCAACTGGCAAAGATTTGTGCAGAGTGGACTGAACATAGCAATTTAAGAGCCTTTTTTGAGGCAAATGTCTGGTCAGTTGCCTGGCTTCCTCTTTCCTTTTCACCATAAACCAAAGTTCCAGTCAGAAATATCACACCATTTTATTACATTAATATTACATCATTCCACATGTTTAAGCGCATAATCAACAGGTTCATCTTTCTAATTTTTTTCAGATGTAGAGATGCTTCAGTCCAAACCAGACACTCCAGTTGCCAGAGATGAAGTTTCTCTAACCACAAAAGACTCAATGCTCCGCAAGTTTTTAGAAGGTGAGACCTGATTGGAGAGAAGGATGACAGTAGCACAATTAAAGCAGTCAAATGGAACTCGAGATTTCTCCTTGATTTGTTAAGGATAGGAGCCATTTCACACTGTTTGACATGGACAGCTTTGCCTTATATGGTACAAACAAGGCACAACAGAAAAAGCAGCTTGTGAGGTGATTTCACAGATGTGGTTAGTTTCTTACCAGAGAGGAGTGATTTCTAGTTCTAGTCCCTGCCTACCAGCGAGTGCAAGCACACAGTTGGTATCTATTCAGGAATGGCTGTTTTTTGTCCTTATGTTAGTGAAGGGAATTACTTCTGGTGTCCTGATGTGGGCACAGGCTTCCCTCGTGGGCAGAGGCTGAGTATAAAGTAGAGCAGCACAAGCTAGTGATGAATTTGAATGTAGATGCTTTATTCAAAAGTCCATACATTGAAAATAGCAGCCTGGAAAGATGAAAGGAACTGCTGGCTCCCAGTCGTGATCTGCATTCTCCCTCTTCAGTGCTCCCTCTGCCTTCTCTGACCAAAACCAGACTTTAGCTCCATGCTATCCACACTGAGCATGATCAGGTTGTCCAAGCTGTTTCCTGACTCACCAGGTTCCAAGGGATACGGGCTCACTTTTTGTGAGTTATCTGGCTGGACTCAGAGCAACATTGAGTCTGGGGCTCTTAACATTGTTCTGTTTGCTTGCCAGCACAGATGCCCTGGCAGTCCCATTGCATTGACTCAACTAGGTGTTACAACATCGCTGAAGGAAAGTAGTCTAGGGCTTAGGGTGTTCACTTCTAACTTGGTAAGAGTAGGGACAAGCAAACAGAGGGAAACTAGCTTTTAATCAGGTATAATAACATTTGATGATTTTGCAGCCACGTTGGGCGTGAGAATATAATGTAGATGATGAGGTGGTATAATGATAGCTGGGCTTAAGTACAGACCTGTGTACCCAGCTCCTTCTGAGACACATTGTTCTGAGATCTAAATATTGTCAGCTGACGGTGATTGCTCATTTCAGACCAGTGCTCTGTTTGATTCTTTAACTGTTATAATACATTCATTAACTGGAATTAGTTGAACTAAGTTCCTTGAGTTCTTAAAAAAAGTTATGAGATTTTCCACTGTGGTTTCTTCATCAAAGCAGACAATACCGGCTTAGTGGCAACACTTACATGCTACTAGATGTTCATGACTTTATCCAGTCCTGGCTTTGGCACTTTAAGTCACTGCAAAATTGGATGGTTTTGACTGTGAAATGGCCAGCTTGGTAAGAATGTGGTACATAGTGCATCTGGAGGGATCCAGTGTTAAGTGAAGTGGCCAGGTTATTTTTCTTGCAAATTCTACTCTGTTGTAGGCAGTAGCATGGATGTGCCAGATTCGGAGGAAGGAGTTTACCAGCGTTATGGTGAAGATGTATACTACTCAGTGGAACAAGATACTTTTCCCCAGGAAATGGCTAGCAGACCTCCAGTTCCTGTTCCAAGACCAGAATCCAGCTCTCCACAGCCAGACAATGAGTTGTACATCTCCAAAAGTGAGTTGGGTACCAGGACCTACAGTCTAGACTAGGCAACTCTAGAATGGCCTTGACATAGGCTCCAGTTGCTGAATAAACACCAAGAAAATTTACACATTTTTAAGACCCTTGGATTATTTGGCTCTGGAGCTGGATTACCTTTGGGATTCAATTTCAGATCTGTTTTTCATTTTCTGCCTACTCTGTAGATGTGAGGATGTTGTATCCTGAAGTCTTGGCCCAAGCTTGCTCATAATCAAAGCAGGAGGATGACAGATTACCCCTAAATGGTATAAACAAATCCAACGAAATAGGAAAGATCTTGATATTATAAGGACACAGTCAAGCTAGTAAACTGAGACTTTGCTGCTCTATAATAATATCATTGATTCAATAGCATTTGTGTAGGATTTGATTCTATATCTCAATACCTCCCTCTGAAGTGGGGTTGAATTGAAATTGAAGAAAATTGTGCCTCTTTGTTTGCTGGGCAGTTCTGGAAATCTTGATCATTTTGCACAAATATTCTAACAAGCGCTACAGTAACGTGTGGGAGAGTAATTTCAGTGACTCCTCCTTCCCGCCATGACAGTACTGTGGGGAAAGCATGCCCAGATTTCTCTTAGAGCTGGCTAAGCTACATTCTTTGAGGTCAGTAGAAGGGGAGTTCTACTGTACAACCCCTTATCTTGTTTTCTTTAATGTATTTAGTAGGGTAACAGAAGCTGTAATGCAGTGCAGAATTGTGTATGCTTCTGTGGTGGGTTGGCCCTGGCTGGGTGCCAGATGCCCACCAAAGCCCACTCTATCACTCCCCCTCCTCAACTGTGCAGGGGGAGAAAAATATAACGAAAAGCTCGTGGGTGGAGATAAGGACGGAGAGAGATCACTCACCAGTGACTGGCACAGGCAAAACAGACTCGACTTGGGGGAAAAAAACAAATTTAATTTATTACCAATCAGACAAGAGGATAATGAGAAATAAAACCAAATCTTAAAACATCTACCCCCACCCCTCTCTTCTTCCTGGGCTTCACTTCTTTGCCAATTTCTAACTCCTCCCCCTAGTGGCAGAGGGGGACAGGGAATGGGGTTGGGGTCAGTTCATCACGCGTTGTTTCTGCCAGTCCTGCCTCCTCAGGGAGAGGACTCCTTCCCCTGCA